GAGCTGGTAATAAGGCCGGCAAGGTGGAGCAGTGGTTAGCATTGATCCTTTCCAGCATTGACTGCATTGTGTCTCTGTCCAGTTAGTCTGCTCTTTCAGGAATCATGAAAATGAAGTTCTGCAACACTTTGGCTACTCACCCATGTCCACAGCAAGCCGGCCTGCAGGCAAAATAGAGGAAAGCATGTGTTGGACGGGTTTTAATATTTATTTAAACTGAGATTCTTGTTTAATGAGCATACAGTTTGATTACTAGACTGCTCTGCTTGTAAGTCCCTACTTATATTGAAAATCTTGAAAAAATATCTCACTTTTGTTTAGCAGGTGTCGGAATCCACTGTGACCTACATTCTATACAAAGTTTCCATTAAGTGTTGAATCAAAGGAAACAGCAGATATGATGGCATGCAAGTACAAGAAAAAATAGTGTTATAGTCACAGCTTTCAGTGTGTACAAAAGAATCTAGCATGTATCTGTTTAAACTTATTGACTCAGGAGAAAACTAGCAATTTTAAAGCGCAAAGACTTACAGGCAAGTAACTTACACAGTAGTCTCGGAAGCTCATCTGCAGGTGAAACAAAAGTCAGACAGGTTTATCTCCTACTTTAGCAACACAGACCTATTCACTGCTTTTTTTTAGAGGAATAGGGTGGTACATAAAAGTACAAGAAATGTACTGTACATCACATTATAATGCTAGTGTAAATGTGCAACCGTTATATAAAATGTTTGGAGCTGTGTAACATACGGCATAATGCACACTTCTCTAGTAATTTTTGTCTAGTAAATATAATCATCTGAACAGCAATTAAATTACATTATTGAAGTTATTCCTCATCTTGTTACCAAAATGTTTAAAACTCCACCCCTCTCTTTCAAAGCCTTATCTGTTAATGCAAAAATGAAACAAGGTCAGAAAAAAGATAAAGGAAAATATAAAACATGATAAAATATATCAGTGCTGAAAACTGTAATTGCACTGACGATCTGTAGCATGATCAGCTTAAAATTGTAGAGCAAGACATGTAGTACTACTCAAATCACTACTTCTATCATGACTACCACTACTGCACTACTACCGTCACTACCCTCTGCAATCACAATTGTTGTTATTGCTGCTGTCACTATTTCTGTCACTACTACCACTTTCATTATCTCTACTACCACTACCATTGTCACTGCAACCACTACAACTGCCTCAACTACCACTACCATAGTCAATGCTACCACTACCACTGTCTCAACTACCACTACCATCATCTCTACTACCACTACTATTGTCTCTGCTACCACTACCACTGTCTCTACTACCACTATTACTACTACCTTCTCCAACTGTGCCAACGTGCAAGCCCATAACTGTGTCCAGCACACAAAAATTCATGTCCGTTACAGGAAACAGATGCCTGCTTATTCAGCCTTATACTGTAGGTACTAATGAATACAGCAACAGTTTGACAATATCCAAAAACCAAAAACACTTTGCTAGAAGTCCAGCAAATCGATCTCTAAGCAGCAGAGATATAGAGCATAGAGACTTAATAGGTATTGTGTTACTGATACAGGTTTGCAATGTAAAGCTGAGAGTCTTGGGAATCAAGGATCAGATCAGAAAATAATTTTGTTCTCTCAGTTCTCCGTTCCTCGTTATCCAGGTGGATGCTGCACATTGGTGGTGGTGGAGGGGAGTCCCCATTACCTGTAAAGCGCTTTGAGTGGAGTGTCCAGAAAAGCGCTATATAAGTGTA